CAAGAAGAGTGTATTGGAACAGCTGACAAGCCCTTAATTAGCACCACACTAGACCCACTGAGCAAAATACACTAAGCCAGAAATCAGTTCTATGGCTTGAGATAAAACACTCAAGGTTATACAATAAGCTACATTTAAGGTACAGGCAAACTCTTCCACAGGGTTCCTCTCCGGAAGTAGCAGATTTATCTTAAAAAAAAAAAAAAACCAAATCCACAGCAATCCAACTGTTATGTTAGGCTGTGACACTCATCTAGCTAGTCTATTTTGATCACTCACAGCAGCTGGCCAGAATGTTCCAGGAAATCACAGAAGTGAACTGACAAAGAACAATACAGACAGTCTCCATTTCCAAAGGAGATAGCTGAATATCAATCTTTGGAGAACCCAGTCTGCATCTGGCATCAGGAATGCACCTAGAACAGAAGGCAGCATTACAGTCATTATTTTCTCACCTTAAATGTGTGTGTGCATGACTGAAGTTTCTCAGATGCTAAGTGCTCTTGCAGACTATTGATCAAATATTACCTCAGGTCAATGTAAGACTAGTACATGTCAGCTTAATAAGATTGCATGTAAATTACTAGGTTCAATCAAAGAGCAGGAAATACAAGAACATTCTGAATCTCCATGGCCTGCAGAGTTTTGTTTGCTAGTGAGTGAGCAAACTTTATACCAATGTTCAGAATTAAATGCCTTTTATTTTTGCACAGCTAATATATTCAATGTGCAGCACTGGAATAAATATTTACTCATATTGCACATCTAATTGTCAGTGTTTTCTTAGACTGACTTCTGTGAACCATCAGACTGTCAAATGTCATTCTCCAAATATCATGGTACAAGAACTATTGTCATCTCAAATGCTATAAAAAGTTGGTTTCTGCTGCCTGAGAACTATCAGATAAGGTCAGATGTTCACTGGTCCTAAAAAATACAGTAGCTAGATATGAAAAGCCATTGAAAAAATTGAAAAGATTTACTAAATGCTTGCTCACAAACATTTCAGAAAGAACTGGAGTAAAATCTGCATGATTTATGCATTTATTTATCCATAGAAATATGCAATGTTAAAGTTTATCTATTATTTGAGTAGCAATGGAAATGTTACCTGAATATGTCTGGGGAGAATAATTTTTCCAGCTCTATTAGAAAGTATATGTTTTCCTCAAACTAAGGGCAACACCTGGCTTTAACTGGCATGGTAGAAACTCTAAAGGTGGGTGGGTGGTGGGAGAGAAATGAACTTGATTTAAGATCAGTTTCATTGGAATATAATTATAATTAAATATAATTGATATGATTACTCTCCAGGCTATATATTTAACACGATCGCCTCCTGCCACCTTAAACAATACAACCTGATGACAACTATGGTGTTCTCTGAAGGTTGAACCCAAGGTTTTTGGTGGGGGACATGGCCCTGGGATCCCAAATGTTGTACCTGTGAACTGTATAAACAGAGCTAGTGTGGTATAGCAGTGATGCCAGTGTTTCTCAACCTTGGCAATTTTAAGCTGTATGGAATTCAACTCCCAGAATTCATGCTGGCTGAGGAATTCTGGGAGTTGAAGTCCATATAGCCTAAGATTACCAAGGTTGATAAACACTGGGTTAAATTGTTGGGCTGACTAAGGAGACTCAGGTTCTAGTCCCCAAAGGAGCTTACTGGGGGACTTTAGGCCAGTTCCTCAGCCCAATCCATCTCGCAGGTTCATTTTGGAGAAAAATAGAAAGAAAAAAGTGCTGTATAAGATACTTGACCTCCTGACTAAAAGATGGGGGCATAACTTTAATAAATATATCTGAATGTACACAGGGGTTCCTGCAGGGGGAAAAGGCAGTGGACATGTCATGTCATCACCATGAATCACATAATTTGTGTAATTTATATAACAACGCCATGACATATGCTGAATTATCACAGTTTTTACCATCTGCCTATGAAGGCATAGCAAGTCCAGCTAGGAGGGTTTTTTTCTGCAAATAAGTTGATCTGAACTATGTGTATCATTCATAACCAATATGTTACACATCACGGATATGTAAAAGAAAAAGCATACAGATCGCAACATCAGGTTGGGTACCAGTCACATTTTTACAGTGGCCTCTTTTTAATAAAAGCTGTTTCTACAGTGGATGATTAATTACTTGGCACAAGGAACCTTGCTAGGAGACTTGTAAAATGTAAATTATTTTTAATGCAGTCTAGCAGGCCGTGTTCGTTTTCATCTTTCTTCCTAAATATTAATTCTGGTAGTGAGAATATATACCATTTGTCAATGCTAGCTGATTATTAGATACATTGCCACACGATGTAGATGAACTTGCTGCGTATTAACAAAATTGACAGCAGTTTTTTTTTTCATTGCATTGCTGCAAATAATAGAGGCATCTTCTGGAAATGCATGATAATGTATGTGACCTCCTCACTTCACTGCATTGGCCAGCCTGCTTTTGTGTGGAGGGTTGTGCTGTTGTTTAAAAGACAACATTTGTCTCCTCTATCTCTCTCTCTGTTCAAAGTACTGATTGGTTTGCTATTGCACTTGAACCAGGACTATAGTTTAAATGGGGAATAGGGAAATTGGGGATTTCTAAATGTTATTGAACTCTGCCTCCCATCATCCCTGATCATTATCCATGCTGATTACAGGTGCTGGAAGGTTTGCAAGTTTGCTGCATTTGGAGGGCTGTGGATTCCCTGATTACCTAAAGATCCACAAATGGAAGCTACAGGGAGTAGAAAATAGAAAATAGAATAGAAAATAGAACAGAACAGAATAGAAAATAGAATAGAAAATAGAATAGAATAGAAATATGATGGCGAACCTGTGGTACGTGTGCCACAGGTGGCATGCAGAGCCATTTAACAGATAACAGATAATCAGAGTTGGAAGGGACCTTGTAGGTCATCTAGTCCAACCCCCCCAAGTGAGAGACCCTACACCATTTCTGACAAATGGCAGTTCAATCTCTTCTTGAAAGTCTCAAGTGATGGCGCTCCCACAACTTCCGAGGGCAAGCTGTTCCATGGGTTGATTGTTCTCACTGTCAGAAAGTTTCTCCTTATTTCCAGGTTAAATCTCTCCTTGTTCAGTTTCCATCCATTATTCCTTGTCTGGCCTACAGGTGCTTTAGAAAATAGCTTGACCCCTTCCTCTCTGTGGCAGCCCCTCAAATATTGGAAGACTGTTATCATGTCTCCCCTGGTCCTTCTCTTCACTAGACTAGCCATGTCCAGTTCCTGTAACCGTTCTTCATATCTTTTAGTCTCCAGTCCTCTAATCATCCTGGTTGCTCTTCACTGTACATTTTCTAGAGTCTCAATATCTTTGTTATAATGTGGTGAACAAAACTGGATGCAGTACTCTAGGTGTGGTCTTACTAAGTCTTTATAGAGTGGTATTAATACCTCCCTTGATCTAGATTGTATCCCTCTGTTAATGCAATTTAGGACCACATTAGCTTTTTTGGTTGCTGCTGCACACTGCTGGCTCATATTTAGCTGGTTGTCCACTAAGACTCCAAGATCCCTCTCACAGTTACTGCTATTGAGCCTGGTTTCACCCAGTCTGTATGAGTACCTCTGGTTTTTCTTGCCTAAGTGTAGGACTTTACTTTTCTCTACATTGAATTTAATTTTGTTAGATACGGCCCAGTGTTCTAGTCTGTCAAGATCAATCTGGATCTTGAGCCTATCTTCTTGGGTGTTAGCTATTCCTGCCAGCTTAGTATCATCTGCAAATTTGGTAAGTTCCCCTTCTATTCCCTCATCTAAGTCGTTAATGAAGATATTGAAGAGTACTGGGCATAAAACGGAACCTTGTGGCACCCCACTGCTTACTTCCCTCCATGTAGACTTAGACCCATTAAGGATTACTCGTTGAGTACGGTTTGCCAGCCAGTTGCGAATGCATCTAGTGGTGGTGCTATCTATTCCACTTTTTTCTAGCTTACTAAGAAGTAGGTTGTGGTCTACAATTAGATGGTGGTCTACTTTGTCGAATGCCTTGCTGAAATCTAAATATATTATGTCCACAGTATTTTGCTGGTCTACTAATTTAGTCACTACGTTGAAGAATGAAATAAGATTGGTTTGGCATGATCTGTTTTTAACAAACCCATGCTGACTGCTAGTTATTACTTTACTTATTTCTAGAAGTTAGCAGATCTGTTTTTTTATTATCGTTTCCAGTATCTTCCCGGGTATTGATGTTAAGCTGATTGGTCTATAGTTTCCTGGGTCTGTTTTTTTCCCCCTCTTTTGAAGATGGGAACCACATCAGCTCTTTTCCAGTCCTCTGGTAGTTCCCCAGTGCTCCAGGATTTTTGAAAGATATGGTGCAGTGGTTCTGAGATGACCTCTGCCAGCTCCTTTAAAACTCTGGGATGTAATCCATCAGACCCTGGTGATTTGTTTTCATCAAGATCAGACAGGTGTTTTCTTGCTATTTTTTTGCTTATTTTAATTTTTATTTCTGTTCTGTCTTTTACAGTTATGTTTTTGGTGGGTTGAGCTATAGTTTCTTTTTGCGTGAAGACGGATGCAAAGAAGGAGTTAGGCAGTTCTGCTTTCTCTCTGTTGCCTGTTATTTCCTTGCCATCTTCTCTCTTTAGTGGACCAACTGATTCCTTGATTTTTGTTCTTGTTATTTATATGTTGGAAGAAACTTTTTTTATTATCTTTGACTTTTGTTGCAAGTCTTTGTTCGTTCTGAGCCTTTGCTATCTTCACTTCGTCTCTGCAGATACTGGCTATCTGCTGATATTCTGCCTTAGTTGTATGTCCTTCTTTCCATTTTTTGTACTTGTCCTTTTTTTCTTTCAATTTGCCAGAGAGATCTTTGTGTAGCCATGCTGGTTTCTTCTTGGATTTCTTGTTTTTTTTTCTCAGTGGTATTGTGCTGGTCTGGGCTTCTATGAACCTACTTTTCAGAGTTTCCCAAGATTCTTGAGTTGTTTTCCCCTTTAGGATTTTCATCCATGGAATCTTTCCCAAGTTCTCTCTGAGTTTATTGAAATCAGCTCTTTTAAAATCCAAGACTCTGGTGTCATTATGTTCTGTTGCTTGTGTTTGTGTTATGTTGAATTCTAGTATGACATGGTCACTCTCAGCCAAGGTTCCTGCAATTTCAACTCCCTCAATCACTTCTTCTCTGTTTGTAAGAATTAAGTCCAGTATGGCTGTCCCTCTAGTTTCACCCTCTACCTTTTGGACAACAAAGTTGTCAGCTAGGTTGGTTAGGAACTTTTTTGATTTCTCACCTGGTGCAGAATTAGTTTTCCAATTGATATCAGGTTAATTGAAGTCTCCCATTACTACTGTTGTGTGTTTCCTGCATATGTTTGTTATTTGGCTGGCAAAAAGGACATCTACTTTTTCTGCTTGATTGGGTGGCCTATAATATACACCTATGGCCATATCATTCTTTTTTTTTCTTTTATATTGACCCATATGCATTCTAGGAGGTTTTCTTCTTTGGTTTCATGCATTTCTGTAGCAATATAGTGGTCCTTTACATACAGTGCAACTCCACCTCTTTTGTGCAGGCACCCGAGCCCCAGCCAAACTTACCGGCACTGAGCATGCACTGCAGTGGGGGTATTGTGCATGCATGTATGGGGGGGTGGGACGCATTGCATTGTGGGTGCTGGCACACATGCATGCGCACTATTACACACACAGACACACACACACTTTCAGCAAACCATAACAAAAAGATTCGCCTTCACTGGAATAGAAAATTGTTCTGACTCAAACCTCATTCAAATCAAATAAACGCAAAACATAAATAAAAGCAAAACCTTTTTAATGCATCTCTGTAAACTCTGTTCATTCACAGCAAACCACTATTAAAACCAATTGTCCCAGATAAGATCAAGCCCTGTCAAGGTTGTGCAAGGCTGCCAAGAACACAAGATTAAGTGCAAGGAAATATTCAAAGCCCAAAATCTCTGAAAACAAACCAGGACAGATCAAACTTCCATGAGAACTTGAAATGCAAGAACTTCTTTGCTTCCTGCAAAGAATCCCACCTCCGAGGCCTGACTTGTATCCCTTAAGGGAGGGGCCATCACCTTGCAACTTATTCTCGAGTCGCCCGTGCTGCTGCAGGTGCTCTTTCCTTCGAGCAGCCCTGCACACACATGTGCTGGGCACAGGCTTCTCGGGGTCCTCTGCATCACTGCTGCCAGACTCCACAAGCTCCAAAGGCAGCACCCCACTCTCTGATAATCCTGGCCCCATCCCTGCATCACATGCAGGACCCTCATCCAAGTCCTCGCTCTCCGAGACTTCAGCCATCCGCACCAGCTGCCGGCGAACCACAACAAGAATAGAATAGAATGAGTAGAATAGAATAGAATAGAATAGAATAGAATAGAATAGAATAGAATAGAATAGAATAGAATAGAATTTGGAAGAAGATGGCTAAGATGTATTTTTTACTACCACGGAAACCAAAAGACCAGAAACAATAGCTATCGGTGGCAAACACCTGATTTTGCATAAATCTAAGGGGAAATATCCTGACAATAAGATCTGTATAATATGGGAGCAGTCTACATATGGAAGATGGTGAGTTCTCCATCTCTAGGGTTTTTTAAGAAGAAGATAGCTGTCATGCCCCCTGGTGGAGACTGACTCTGAGGGAGAGGAGGAACAGCCGACAGGGAGTGGAAGTGTGGCTCCGGAGGTTATGGAGGAGGGTGGGGAAGAGCAGAGGCCGGCTGAGCAGTCAGAGGAGGACCCAGGCCCATCCCCTCTCCATCCTAGGGCACACTGGGAGGAGAGGATAAGGGAGAGATGTGGTCTCCTTGGGAGGAGAGGGCCTTGATCCTCTTCATGGGCTGCAGGTGTGATGACTGAATAAGAGTTTGGACCTTCGTTCTGGCAAACACTGGAGACAAAGCGTGTTTTATTTTGGTTTGAGGTTATCTTGATTGGCATCTTTCCAACAGACTGTGCCTTGTTATCTCCTTGCATTTGGTAAATACTTATCCTGTTCTGAAATTTCATCATTGTAGTTTGTTTGGTTTTTATTTTCACCTCTATCTGCTCCTTAGATTCGGACTGTATTGCTTTCTTTTGAAGATTATTTTTGAGTATGTTTTTATCTCCAACTGAGTATTATTGAACAGTGGGGCCAAGTTGGAGGCATTAAAGGACATTTATTTACATTTTGGATTTTGTTATGTTTCTGTTACATTCTGGGTCATCACAATAGCCATCTCATAAGGGTGGTTTAATTGTTTTTCCTGAGCATTGCAAGGGTTTTGAGTATGGTAGATGGTTTTCACAGTCCCTTCCAATTCTATGATGCTATGACATCTAGAAGATTCATAGAAAGTCATCAACTTGCAGATGCACGATTTTCTACTAGATTACACTAGAATACAAAAGTAGGGAAAGTATTAAATAATGCTTTGTGTAATCAGAGAGACCCTCAGGAAGAGCCCCAAGGGGACAAATGATGAAAGAAGTGTTGTGATGTCATGTCACAAGCTCTGCCTCTCTTGTACATGCTTCATAATACTTCACACATGTACAAGAAAGGGTAGAGCTTGCAGCTCAATGACGCAAAGCAACTTTCATCAAGTTAACCAAAGTACTGTGGAATAGCCCTTAAAAGATAGCAGTAAGTTAAAAGATTCAGTAGCCCTACCTACTGAAAATGTATGGCTTCAAATATCCCTATTGGTGACTAAGAGTTATTTGCCTGGATTTTGTTCGCCATAGTTCCTGAAAACATTTTCTATACCAGTGCTCTTCAAATTTAACAACTTTAACATATGTGGAATTCAACTGCCATAATTCCCTAGCCAGCATGCTGGTTGGCGAATTCTGGAAGTTAAAGTCCATATGTCTTAAAGCTGCCTAGTTTAAAAAACACTGCTCTATACAAACACCATCTGGGGTGATAATTAAATCTAACCTCAGGGGAATATCCACTATTTCATCTATATGTGTGTATAGGTATATGGGTGTGTGAATTATTATTATTATTGATGTTGTTTAAGCCTCAAGGGTTTATACAACTAGAAAGATGGGATATATAGTTAATTAATGTGTATTATTAATCAATAAATCCAGGAGCAACAGCTAGCTTAGAAAAATGCAGAAGGGAATATATGGACATGTTGCTTCCAACTAAACAGCTACAGATGCATGAAGCATCTGTTTCATTGCCTAATGGCGTGTATGTATGCATTTAGCAACATCTGTATGTTCCTCATTCATATGATGTGCAATACATAAAACTAAGAACATCCATAAACAATATATAACCACAATTCACAATAAACAAAGCAGTTTTTAATGGTTGCTTATCTTTAGATAAGAATTTCCTGCCTGAAAAAAGGACTGCCTTCTAGAAGACACACTGTCTACCATTTTTCTTAAAGGGAGAGCAGGGGCACAATGACTTCTGGTCTAGCTGGTCTAGAAAAGTGGGGTGCAACTAAGAATGATACTCGCTGGGTATGATTTCCTCTGATCTCCTCTGGGATGGATTCCCAGAATACCCACTCCCTGCTAAACCTGTAGAAATAGTCCAGAAATATTTCACAAGAAGAGTTCTCCACTCCTCTACTCGTTGCAGAATACCTTATGCCACCAGACTTGAAATTCTAGACCTAGAAAACCTAGAACTACGCCGCCTTCAATCCGATCTAAGTATAGCATATAAAATCATACACTGCAATGTCCTACCTGTCAATGAATACTTCAGCTTCAACCATAACAACACAAGAGCAAATAGATACAAACTCAAGGTTAATCACACCAAACCTGATTGCAGGAAATATAACTTCAGCAACAGAGTGTTCAATGTCTGGAATATTCTACCTAACTCTGTGGTTTCTTCCCCAAACCTCAAAAACTTTAACCTTAGATTGTCCACTATTGATGTTAGGTTTGAGCAATGAGAGGCTGAACCAGAGCATGAGTGCAACA